TCCACTAGTAACATGTAATTTACCAAGGCAAAAACAAACTGCAACCAATTTCAACCCAAAATAAAACCAATATTGTCGAAGATAAACACAACTAAACACTTTGCAAACATGTGTCATATCACTTCATTATTAACAACCGTTTATAAAATCTAATAATCAATAGATTACATTCATCTACACTTTTCACCTTCTTCTTTCGTCTTCTTTTCTCCTGCTGCTTGACGAATCAGGTCCAAGCCATTTTCGTCGAGTTCAACGGGGTTGTTGGCGGAATTGGTAAAGTTCGAAAACTTATTCTTCTTCAGGAGTCTCTCGCGGGTTCGTTTATGGAATGATGCTGAAAGAAATGTGATGAAGGTAATGTCGATTCAAGAACGATTGAAGAATCATTTATGAACAATGAAACCTAAGAATTTACCTCCGTTGCTATCCATCATTTTTTGATTCAAGATTTTCCTCAATATTCGATTATATGAAAACACTCTAAAATTGAACCCAAATTTGATACACCGTCCTAATTAAATGGGATTTCATTCATTACATAGGATCTGCTCTTATATTTTTCATCCCCAATTTGCCCTTCCATATGGTTTAATTTAATGAAATCAATTTCTTAATCGCAAATCATCCCCTTTTGTGTAAATCCTACAAACCAATCTCATCTATTCATTTTCTTGATCAATAGTCATGATTAAAATGTGTTAAATTAGAAAAGTAAAAAATAAAATAAAAGGTTTAATATTTAATCAAAAAAAGGCAAAATTAGCAAACCATTTTAGCTTTCAGCCATATTATATTAGGAAAGCAAATCATTGTTTCATTAACTTTCATTCCATTGATATATTTGACATATCATGTTCCTAAAAAATATCTTTTTACAGACAACTTGACAAAATATATTATTTGGGACTGGACTGGTTAATGAAACAGATTGACGTAATCTGAAACCTGTTTCATACCAATCCAAAACTTGTTTCATACAAATCTGATTCATGATGAGAATACATCAACAGTGAAATTAGTTTCATTGTTCGTCTGTATAATGAAATTTGAGCCAGATATGGTTCAGTCAACGGAACATTTTCCAAAAAATCTGAATAACATGTTTTCGTTAATGAAATTCGTTTCATCATTGAAATCGGTTTCATGGACTCCACAATTCCAAAAACTAAATGACATTGTTTCAATAGTGAAAATTGTTGAAATGTTTTCTAATCAAAATGGAATCGGTTTCATGGTTTCTAACCAAGATGAACTCGATTTTACATATGAAACTAAATATTGTTCAGTTAATGAAACACTTCAAGAACTGAATAATAATATTTCATTCATTTTTAAATTTGTTTCATGTTTCCTAACCAAAATGGAATCGGTTTCATGTTTATAGCCAAGATGAAATTGATATTATTAATGAAACCAAATATGGTTCAGTCAATGAAACATTTCAAGACCTGATTACTATCATTTCATTAATAAAAGTAGTTTCATGGTTCATAACCAAAATGAAATTAGTTTCAATGAAAATTGAATTAAATGAACTATATAAAACACAAAGAACTTTATTCATTTGAATATAATATATATTCACTTGAATTAACATTTTTATCTTGTTTGCACTGAATTCTCTATTCATATATGAATATATCATGTTACTCGCACAAACTTTCAAAATCTGTGTGTCGATAAAATATATCACCATCTAACGAGAAGCATATAAGCTTATGCACCTGTCTTTTTGTGTGCATGTCAATTTCCTTTATGTTTTTTCCACCCTTTGATGGAGACTCTTGGAAAAGATCAGTAATAAATTAAATCAATTATGTTGGTGCCAGTACTGGTGTAAATAATGCAAGTTGAATTTCAGTATAGATATATTTGACTCGAACTCAGTTATCGTTTCTCAAACTTGAATTCGACACAAAAACTCATGAGTAGTTAAAAACTAAACTTTATTCGAACTCGATTACTATAACTTAAACTCGAACTTGAGCTCAAACTCGTTTGAAGCTTGAACCAATCTCAAACTCAAACCAAACTCGAACTCAAACTTGAATCAAACTATCCATTGAAATTTATAAATTTTAGGGTATTCTTTTATAAATTATAAAACTTAAAGGGGTTTTCTTAAACTTTATAAAACTCAATGATGCACTCAAACTTTATCATCAAAAGGACAATGTTACAAACTTCCGTCACATCCCTCCTTTTTAACTACACTTCTTCTTTCTTCTTTTAGTAGCTTTTTTCCAATGTGGAAAAACTTCACCATTTAGTATATATTTTTCAATGTGTGACAACTTTATCAACACTTTTATTGTTTTTTTCTTAATAAAAAATAATTGATTAGTTTTTAAAATTATAATTTTGTTTTAAATGTCTTAAAATATACAACATTTTTTTATTGGTAAGTTTATTGGTAAAATTTTACATTATATTTTACAAATTATATTATAAAACTGATTTTATATATATATATATATATATATATATATTAAAATTTGAGTATCTCTTCAACTTTTCAAGTGGAGTATTGATAGCTCGATTCGACTCAGTCAAAACTTAATGAAAAGGGTGTAAAGTTTTTTTTATTAAAAATATATTTTGTGTTTCCAAGTGTTCATATATTAACAAACCGAATTGACATCTTTTGAAGTATATACTAAATATATACAACATATAAAGCTCACGTACACGATTGAAATTCTTGTCCTTGACTTCTAAATAGGTTGGGTTACCGGTTACTCCCTGCCAAACAGAGCAATATTTCGGGTGGTTATATCCACCGAAAATCCTTTTTTCTCTCGGATTTCAGACGGCTAAATATAGGCTGCGGTGATTAATTTACCGGCGGATTTCTTTTCCCGACGTATTCCAGCTGCCGGAAAATTTCCACCGGTTTATTTTAAAAATCTTGATTTAATTAAGAAAATATATAAGTTTTTTTAAAAAAAAATGGATTAAATTACCGGCAGATATATCCGCCGGAAATGTATTTTATTTTTAAAATGATTATTCATATTTTTTAAATATTCTAATTATTTCCGACGGATATATCCCTGGAAATTTATAAAATTACTAATTTTAAAATATTTTCCCAATAAATATTTAAAACATGCAATTGTGCCAACTGGGTCATCAAACTGCTTATAGGGGAGGAGTAGGCGGTCGATGCTATTAAAATGTTCTAGGAATTTGTGATTTCAACATGATATTCGTGGGCTGGATGAGAATGTATAGCGCATGATTCTAGAATACTTAGGGAAGTTGCTTTTACCCCAAAATTTGTTTTCCCTTTACCCCACAAGGTATAAACCATTCTCAATTTGTAATTTTTTTTGTATATTATACAATTGATGTGGGTGGTTTTTCAGATAAATATTATCTTTGTGATGCTGCGGACGCCAATGCTCGTGAATTTTTGGCTCCATGTCGTAACACAGATATTAGTTGGCAAATTTTCGATGTCGACGTGCTTTGACTAAAGAAGAATGGTTTAATCATGCACATGCTCAACTCAGAAATGTTATTGAATGTGCTTATGGTGTCTTGAAAGCGAGATTTCCGATCTTAAAGCAAATGGCTCCCTTTCCATTTACAACACAAGGAAATGTGGTAATTATGTGCTTTGCGATACATAATTTTATCAGAAAATATAATATTCTAGACCAGTTGTTTATAGAGTACAATGAGGATATTATATTTAACAACGAAGAAGAAGTCGAAGGAAATGGAGAAGAAGAAGTGGACATTTCCTGATGGGGTGCTAATAGCAGTCAATATATAGCTACTTTGAGAGAGGAATTGCAAATAGTTTGGACAATAATGTTTGAACTTGGATTTTTGTGTTTGAACTTGGCTACTTTGTGTTTGAACTTGGATTTTTAAGTATTTTATGAATTTATGTTTTAATTTTTGGATGATATCAATGAATATTGTCTTGATCTTTAGATGATATCAATGAATTTATGAATTTATGTTTTGATATTTAAATATTTTATTTTTCAGAAATATCATTTGGCTTAAAAAATGAACAACAATTTATTAAATAGTGCGTAGTTCATTCTCAGGGGTAAATTGGTCATTTATGTTATTCCGACTGTTGATTTAGATAGAAAAGTAAACAACAACATAATTATGTAGATAGACAAATTTATCCATACAGAATTTTAATAGAATATTTGGTAAACAATCCCTAAGAGTTAATGCATTTTCAAAAATAAAATAGTTGTCAATTAATTAAATGGAATCTTCAATAAAACATTAATCACCTGAAATAAATAGTTAGATAATAATGTTATATATATATATATATATATATATATATATAGGACACCTCTGTACCTTCACATCGGTCTCGGTCTAAACTTTTCCCTACACCCCAAGTTAAGGCATTTAGCCTATCATCGCTCTTTTTCTTCTTGCGAAAGATGTAAAAATTAAAAAATAAATAACGGAAATGGAAATTACAGTAAAGTAAAATGTAAATGACTAGAAAGTAAAGTGCTGGAAAGTAAAGAACTATAAAGTAAATTGCGGSAAAGTAAATGACAATGAAGTAAATTGCGTAAAGTAAATTGCGGAAATGTAAATGACAATGAAGTAAATTGCGTAAAGTAAATTGCGGAAATGTAAATGACAATGAAGTAAATTGCGTAAAGTAAATTGCGGAAATGTAAATGACAGTAAAGTAAAGTGCGAGAAAGCAAATAACAATAAAGAAAATTACATAATTGTAAAGCTCAAAGCAGTAAAAGGAAGTAAAGAAATGAAGACAGTGCTGCAGCATTACTATAATACTTAGTAACTTCGGCCACAAGCTACGAAACTTGTGCTGCAAATTATATCACAAAAGTAAACATTTGCTTGAAAACACTTTGAAAACAGATCTTTAACTACCGGAGACTAATCACGAGCCACAAAAGGATTGAGAATCCAACGAATTGCCATGGGTATAGACTAGCTTCGAAATTAACCCGAAAATGGAAGTAAACTTGAAAACGGAAAATACTTGCTTTGAATATTGTGGAAGATCCAAATTACTACAATTGAAAATTAATCATGAGCCACAAAAAAGATTGGAAATCTGATGTAATGCCACAATGATAGGTTACTTCCAAGACGTAACCAGAAATAAGTAAACTCTTAAAACCGAAAGTAAGAACAAGTAGAAGAAATGAACTTGAAATAATCGAACTTTGATTTAAAATTGGAGGTAACAACAAAATCGATAGTAGCTCAAAAGATTTCGGTTCTTGGGAAATAGGTAAACCCAAAATATTAAACTAGAAAGCAATAAAAATTTAGAAAATTAAAAACGCAAAGGTTGATGTTTTTAGGCTTAAGGTAACGCTCTTATTTATACCATTTTAGGAGGATTCGGCTCCAAACTAGGTTAAGCAGTACAAAAGTTGCTTACAGATGAAGCAAGCCCATAATTGCTCCCAAAATCTGTGGTCTTGGTCTGGTCCTTCAGCAAACAACTCGTACATGACTGTTGTAGCTCCGGCCAAAAATTCCAAAAATCTGCAATAAATCCCATTTAGTATAAAATCATAATAAAACTCTAATAATTCATATAGAACTCTAAAAATAATAAAAGATGATAAAAATGAGAAAAAGGATGCTAAAAAGACTCAAAGGGGTATTTTAGGTAAATAAAAGAAAGGAAAAAAAGTAAGAAAAGTAGGGCAATAGGGTTAATAAAAACACCTATCAGTCACAATCGCATGACACAATCGCGTAGCTCTCGATATATCTTATTCTACTGTGTCCTGCGATTGTGACAGTGTCTCAATCACATGGCACAATTGCGCCGGATTATGTTATCGTGTCGTTATCACAATCGTAAGACACAATCACCCAGATGCACCAACTCTCGGTACAAACGATGCTAGTGTGTCCGCTATTGTGCCATTGTCACAATTGCTTGGCAAAGTCGTGCCAAAGTCACTATCGTGTAGCACTATAGTCGGGACGATCATGCTCTCAGTAGCACCATTGTTATCATGACAGATGTCACTACCGCATGACACTATAACCATACTTCATATTAGGTTTTTATTTACCGGATCACTCGGTTCAACATTAACTGGGATGAAAATCAGGATTTACAGAGCATAAAGTAAATAATTTCTCATGTTCTTAAACATGAATGAAAGGAAAGGAAAAATGATATTTTTACAAGTATAACCTTTAAAATAAAAGGTTGGGTAGTTTTGTAATTTTAATAATTTTTTTACAGAATTCTATTTCTTTCCTTTCCTTCCTACCGTTTCCTTTTCTTTCTCTCCTAAAACCGAAGGAAAATAATGATAAACTTCCTTCCGTATGCGAGAAAAGAGAATGAGGGGGAAAAAAGAAACTAAAACCGTTTAAAAGATTATTAAATTTTAAAGGATATATATTTTAAAAATATATTTATGAAAATAACATCTTTCTTTTCTTTTCTCTCATTTCAAAAACATGAAAATTATTTCATTTCCTTTCTTTTTCATCACTCTCAAGAACACAAATAATTTTTATTTTATTTTCTCGATATTATTTTTCTGTCAAAAAACACAAATAAAAATTATTTCCATTCTTTCACTCTCAAGAACGCAAATAAATTATTTATCTTATTTATTTAGGGGTCGTTTATCAAACATTTACTCAACTAAGCGATTTTCCAAGTCACATTACCTTACTGGATGCATATGGCAAGGACCAAGAATCTTACCAAGTAAGAGTGAAAACAAGGATGAGAATCTTACCCGGTAAGTGAGGGTCGTCGTCTCTTACCACGGTTAGTGCTTACCGGGTAAATTGTTGCATATAATACCGTTTTGTGGACTAAAATCTTACCCACTAAGTAAATGTTAGTATTAAATTGTACCGGTAAGTACTTTCTGAATAAACGTGTGGTAAACAACCCTTTATTTTCTTCCCAAATTCAAAAACAAAACAATAATTAATTATAAAGAGAATAATAGTTATAAGGATTATGATGATAATAGCGCAAGTGATGAATATGAAAATAAAATTATGAGGCTGATAAAAGCATGGTTGAAATAACCCAAATATTTTCTAACTGATAACTTACTTTCAAAAAAAGTTTGTTAAGCTAAATAATTAAATTAAGATATTCCACTACATCATTTTTTATTTCAAAAAGAAAATAATAAAATTAAGAGTGAAGTGGTTTGTTGCTCTTTAAAAAAAATATTTATACCGATGGTTTATAACGTGAGATAGTTATATATTAAAACATGTTCGTTGGGATAAATAATTTTTTTTATTATGAAAAAGATAATCATGTTTTAAAACTTTTAAGTATTGTGAGACATTATTAAATTAAATTATTAAATAACTGTAAATAAAATACAATAATTAAATTGATTTTAATCTTCTTTTGTTACCGTCTCTAATCGACCACCTTCTATTTCTCATTGTATGAACGATTTGGGAACCCACTAATATACGTCGGCGATATGTATGATACGTGCGCGTCGTGAAACAAAAAATACATGTGCAACATATTGTAGTATTGTACACGTTAATTATATAGATACAATAGTGGAGTATTATTCTCCTCAACAACTTTAGGAAAAAAAAAAGCAGTTACCAACTAACAAATCCGGATTGAAAAATATGTTCTTCGATAGATGAATATTTAGGACTTTTTTATACAAAAAAGTCCTAAAGATTCATTTACCTGCTGTATAACAAAAGGCAAAAAAAAAATACAAATTGAAACTGATATAAAACAAAGGGACTCACAATCGTTATCTCAATCATGACTCATTAGAGATTTGCTCGGGATTTTCATCTGAATGCAAGTAGAATCTATTAAGACGTTCTGAAGCATTTTTAACCTACGAAAACACAAAAACTCCCATTCATACAAAGTATATATCAATAAAGGGGTGTTTGGGATTGCTTATTTGAAACAACTTATGCTTTTCTACAAAAGCACTTATCAACTTATTATAAGTCAGAAGGGTTCAACTTCTTTAAAAACTTCTTATTACCGGTTTCACACCGGTATAAGTTGTTTATCCAAACACTCAAAAGTGCTTATTACCGATGTCACATCGAAATAAGTCAATAAATTGTTTTGATAAGCAATCCAAGCACCACCACCTAAGTATAAAAACATCTAAAGTAAGATGTATAATTTTAGGCGTATATATATATAAATTTAATTACCTGTTCATCCCAGTTTGTTCTCCATGTCAAATATATAAGTGTAAGTGTTTGCGTTAGAACACCACAAATCATTCCGATCCATATACCCTGTGAAAAAATACAAATTTGTTACAGAGAATCTCGACCATAAAAGAGCTTTCGACTCTTGTCGAACAATAGTTTTTGCGTACTTTAACTTCGAGGGGCGTTAAATATCCAAGCAAAGCTCCCAATGGGACACCGATCACGTAAAAGCAAACGAGGTTAACAATTGCTACAACACCCTGCATACCGGCTCCAACCGCCACGCCTATGACAAGATTTTTCTAAATCATGAACACAAGCACGTAAAGTTTCCTGAAATAGAAACCAACATATATAATCTTCGAGTTACCTGAGAGAACCGGATAGATGCTGTTCAACAAAACCGAAAAAGAGAGAAGCAAGGAAAGATCCGATACTGTATCCGCAACCCTATCATCATCAGTGAACACGTATGCGAGTTTTTTGCCGAACACCAAACAAAGTACAAAGAAGAACATGCCGATCGCAATGGACGTTCCCAACAACACTTTTATCGAAAACTTTACTGCCTTCGCGTTTCCTCTCCCTAATTCATTCGCCACCCGAACGCTTCATACGTTTTCAAATCATGAGCACAGAGATTTCAGTCACATATACAAGAAAAGAAGAACAAATTTGGGGACCGAAAACTCTTTAAAAATCATCGATCACATACCATGCGGCACCTAAGAAACCAAGGCTGATCATGAACTCCCATGCATTTATGTTGAGGCTGCAAAAATATCGCAAGAAACAAGTTTTAGTTTCATCCGAAATGAGTCGAAAATGGCGAAATAAAGAACACGAGTTTGATACCAAATGGAGAAGGCCGATATCGCGACCTCGGCATTAGCCATGTATCCAGCAAGTAAGACAAGAACAGCATAGTACCATAACTCCAAGCTACACATGAACAAAATGGTTAAACCAAAGTTTGACTTTTAAAGTCAAAAGAACGATTCTCAGCTTCGTAAATAATGTTCATTTCTGTAAGATTTTCAAAAAATGGAGATAAAATTTTGAAATATTACTACAACAAGAATTCGATTCAAGTGTTTTCGTGAATAGTATTGCATCGATTTTGAGTTTGAAAACCACTAGGTTTGACCTCAAAAAGTCAAAAGAGTATCAGTAATGCTTACCAGACCATCACACCAGAAGAGATTGAGAGCTTGACAACAGGCAACAGATCTTTAAATGCCGCAACTTTGAATCCTTTCCATGAATGAGGACACCAACCTCCAAAAATGTATATGAATTCACCGATCACAAGAAACCACGAAGACAACGAGAGTGCAATCATCGCACCCGCGACCCCCATGTTAAATTTATACACCAAAAGCAGTGATAACGGTATATGGATCGCAAATTGAAATGCTGAAAGCCATGCGATAATCATGTTTTTTAACTGTGCTTGTAGAAACATTTGGATGGTCAAGCTAAAGACAAAGTTGTAGACGAAAGGAATGAACCATAACGATATGTATCCGCCACTACTCGCTATCGCTTCTTCCTCGCCAAGAAGTTTGAAGAGTTGGGTACCAAAGATGAAGATCGGGATGAAGACGGTCGTAGTGATCAAGTCAACGATCCATGATCGTTGTAAGTAAATGCCTATCATATGGTTTTGTCCGGCTCCGAATGCTTGTCCACAAAGGGTTTCGGTTGCACTCGACATTCCCAACTATCAACAGATTCAAATTAGAGCGAGAATCGCAGAAACAACTACTCCGTTATTTTGGATAGACCCAACTTTCGAGTGAGATTTACTCGTTTAGTTTGGTTTTTTCAATAAAAGAGAAAGACCCAACAACTTAGTGGTCCTGCTGAGTACCACTAGTACCATTGCTTCTCTCTGTATATTCAACGTGTGAGTTGAATTTTAAGACTCGGATTTAGTTTATTGATCGTTTTGTTAATAATAAATGAACAAGTGTAGTCCACTTACAAGTATTCCGTTGACAAATCGAACGCTTAGCGTTTGAACAAGCGCGTAGCCGGCAAGATCTATGTCGCTGATATGTCCGATAAACGATTGAGTGACAACAATGGTTCCGAATGCACAAACTCTTGATATGACACCGGGCAATGCAACCCTCCATATCTTTTTTGATTCGACCCATATCCGCTCTTTCAAATTGCCTTCCTCTTCTTCTTCGTGTCGGAGAAGCTTTGTCTTGATGCCATCATCCATCCTGAGAGAACCGATAAGCATATTAGTGACCGATGAAGTTGGATTTTTCAGTGTTTGCGGTACATAGATATTATATTTCAGAAAGGAAAAAGACACATTATTTGGTACAAGAAAAGCAAGAAGGTTGATGTTAAGGATGATGGAGGACGGGGTAACAGGGTAAAGGATTATATATATATATATATATATATATATATATATATATATATATATATATATATATAAAAGAGTTCAAACGAGAACAACTTCATTTTATGAGAACGCGAGAACATGTGATACTATTATTCCATCACATATGATACACATGTGATACTAAATCAAAGACTCGAGCGATTTTTGATGTGATCTTGGTTGCGGGCCAAATCGCCCTACACCACTAAGCTCCCTCACAAGTATTATCTCACATGTGGTAAGGTGTTGTTGATATGATACTATAATCCATCAAGACCATCACATGTGATGCTAAATCATAGACGCAAACAACCTTTGACGAGGCCTAAGTCGTAGAACACGTCGTCCGCACATCATAGGTCCCCTCACCCATATTATCACATGTGATAAGGGTGTTCTCGCGTTCTCGTAAAATGAAGGTGTTCTTGTTTGAACCTCCACCTATATATATATATATATAGAGAGAGAGAGAGAGAGAAGCGTTCAAATAAAAACCACTCAATTTGTACAAACCATGCAAACCTCATTTAACCAATCATAATTTTTCATTTTGTTCATTTTTTTTTGTAATTATGAGAGGTCGATTAACCATTTTTATTGTGGAGGGTGTTAATCATTGATATTATCATCTTCATTATTTTAATTTTAGAAAAATACATGAAACAGTTTCATTAAAATTTCATTAAATATTATATGAAACAATTTCATAACCATATACGAAACAAATTCGTCAAAAAAAGTATTATATGAAACAATTTCACAAGATTAAACAATTTCATGAAAAAAATTTCATAAGATTAAACAATGAAATCGACGTATGAGGATGGTTTGTACGGTTTGTACAAATGAGGATGATTTTTATTTGATCATTCCTCTATATATATACGGGTGAGTCTAAATAAAAAACCAATTTTTGATTGTGAACAAAAAGATAAAGGAGAGCACGTTATGCGTTTCACAACTTTATGTATCATTCATCACGAATAATAAAGTCAAACGTGGCAATACAAATATTTAATTTCGTTTTAAGTAAAGTCAACGTAGCAATAAAAATGGACCAACAAGTTTACGATATGGCGTTGGTAGAATCCAACACGACATCCACGTCATCATCATCTCCTCTTGATTTATTCTAGACCAATCAAACCTCAACATTAAAAAACAATAAACGTATCCCATTTGCACCATCTAAAATACGTATTTTCTTTATAAAGATTAAAATTCTGTATAATTTATTAAGATACAAAACATAAGATTCAGGGGCCGTTTACTAATATTTATCCAGTAAACGCTTACTGGATCACTTAATTTATCGAATGAACATGTCAAAAACCAAAAATCTTATACACTAAGAGCGATGACAAAGACCTAGAGTCTTATCCGATAAGTGAGGGTGTTGACTTTTACCCGGTTGACACTCAGAGAGTAAATTGTTACATACAATGGCGTTTTTTTTGGATTAGAATCTCAATTGATAAGAAAAGTGAGAATGTTGAGTCTTATAGTAAGCGTTTGAGTAAACAGTCTCTCAGTGTAAAAAAACTTGCATTCAAGAAGCTCAAAACACATGAATTCAAGTTCAAAACTTTCATATATCATACAAGAATTGTCATAAAAACAACACATTTGAGCGATTGTTGATTATTCAAGTCTTTCAACAAAAACCTATAAAGTTTCAAGATTATAAATGCTTAAAATAGATTTGGTTTTGGATGAACTCGAATCCAACATAATCAAATCAAATAATATATATATATATATATATATATATATATTAGAGAGAGAGAAAGAGAAACTTACTATATATTTGAACAAAGTGGCTCCGGTTTTTACCAACGAAGTTTTACGTCTGAAGACCGAGCAGAAAGAGGGTAAGTCTTTCTAAATTTAGAAAGAATAGGATTGAAATGGTGAAAGCAATGGTGGTGGAGAAGGAGGGTGATATTTGGCCTCAAAGGGGCGCCATTTATAGTCATCAACATTCTTGGGCTTTCACTCTCTTCACCACTTGGAGCAGGGGTATTTTCGGTATTTACTTTCTATGAAAATATCAAGAAATGAACCTTGGTTAACCTTTTCTTTTATTTAAAGCATTTGTTCTTGTAAAATATAACATTCTTTAAAAATGAGATACCATGGTTTGAACTTTGAAGTGTCAATATCTCGATATTTACTTTAAGATGCTTCTAACGTATAGCTTAGATGATAAATGAATGAAACAATTTTATCTAAATATAATACAGGGCTTGGATTCAATTACAAGCCTCCCGTTATCTTCAGCAGTTGAGTGAGTCAAAAAATGTCATTCATATTGATATCTTTGAAGACGGGTTCCTTGTGGGGTCGATTAGAGTTGTTGTTAATCAACTTTTTGTTCAAATATTTTAGCAGATCCTATTACACATTTAATTACCAAGAAAAATGATAAATAGTAAATTAACATTCTAAACCTAATCTTTCAGAGACATATCTAAACCTAAAAGGGTACTCGTGCAATGCATCGAGACATATTTCGATTTCAATATCTCGTTTTATTATTTATCTATGTCGATATAATACGGTTTTATATAGTTTTGAGAAAACGATAATGCTTTTATTTTTTAATAAAATATAAAATATCATAAAAATTTGAAAAAAAATATATATGGACATTAGTATTAAATTAACTATTTAAAGTTTTTGTTTTCTATATTTTTTTTAATTCAATTTTTATTATAATTTAATTTAAAGTAATTTAATTTAGGTTTAATAATATAATTTTTTTATAAAGATGATAATTAAGTATTATGTTAGAACTCAATGATTATCTTAGTTATATTTTTGATTTTTTATATTTAAAATGAGATGTTTATCATGTATTGAATTATGTTTATTTGCAGTTAGTTACACGAATTCAAATATGGAGCTTTACTAAGTTGTATTTATGCACAATTTATTTGTAATCTTGAATTTTAAGTAATATGCATCAATAAACAGTATTTCATGCATAAAAAATAGTTTTTAAAAGTTTTTGTCAAATGCTTTATAATATAGTATATATATATATATATATATATATATATATAGTCAGGTTCAAGGGAAAACCGAAAAAAAAAAAAAAAAACGAAGGAATACCCTGATAAACCATTTATCTAAACGGTATATATAAGTAATTTGTAAGCAACTGAACATGTGCATAATACAAAAAAGCAGCTTCAATTACTTATATGCACATGAGCATAATACAAAAAAGCAGCTTCAATTACTTATATGCACATGTGCATAATACAAAAAGCAGCTTCAATTACTTATATGCATATGTGCATACTGTCCAGTTAAATGATTACCAGTGTGTTTCTCAGTTTTTCATTTTTTAGGGTTTTCCTCTCAATCTCAATCTCTCTCTCCCTCTCCCTCTCCCTCTCCCGCCATTATATAAATACATAAAATATATAATAATAATATTTTTTTAAACTTTTATAGAATATCAAAAAGACAAAAATACCCTCTATGTTAACAGACCTATTTAATACAAGTTAGTTAAAAAGATCAAAAGTGAAATAAAATAGTAACCACAATAACCAAGACGAGGATTGATTAAAGACAAAACAAGAAGTAATAAAATAAAAAATATAATCTACTCTAAGAATTATTATAAAATAGAATTCCAGTAATATTTACAAGACGGGAATAATTATTTAAATGGTTATGGATGTTTTTTCTTGAAAAATAAGGAAATCGTATGGTAGCAAATTGGTCCACGTTTATTCACATGGAACCTTTAGTTCTACCAAATTCATTTATAAAGTACAATGAATGGTTGTGTTACATTAACTTTCTTCATAAATTTATTTAGATTTAAATTTTAAATAAAGGAGCGTTACAGTTTTTTAGGTCTAGATTTTAAAAAATATACTGAAATAATAAATTTATTGAATATTTTAATAATATAATAAATATTGAAAATTTTAAACTAAAGAATACGTTGAAGTTAATTGAATTTTTTTTTTAGTTTTGACTTCTGTTTCTTTATTCTAAATAAATTATATATAGATGATCTTAAAATTATAAATTCAATAAAAGAAATTTAACAAAGTAGTTTTTTTTAACCTGAATATCCAACCCGCTATGCAAGCTTACTAATCTCAGGACGAGTGAGCGACCACCTGTTTTGCAGATAGCCTGGAGTCATTGCATTTGAACCTCCATGACCATAATGAGATTTTTATTCCTCATTGGATTTGAATCTAGAATCTCCTGATACTTTGGAGCCAAGCTCAAACCAATCAAGTATCACCCTTGTGGTTACAAAATAGTTATTTTGAGCAACATTCTTCATTTTTAGTCTATTCTTTTAAATTATACTGAAATAATTAAGAATTTACAAGCGTCCATCTCGCAACTGGTGAAATTCACAAGTGAAGATTTCATTAAAAATAGCTAATTTAGGGGCTGATTACAAAACACTTACTTGGTAAGTGCTTACATGATAAATTTCCTTATCAGATGAATATGAAAAGGACCAAGAATATTACTGGGTAGGAGCAATGAAAAGGATAGAGAGTCTTACCCGGTAAGTAAGGATGACGACTCTTACCCAGTAACTTGTTGCATTCGATTTGTTTTGATGTACTAAATTTTACATATCAAAATAAATTATAATGTTGAATCCTATCGATAAGCATTTAGGTAAACAGTCCCTTAATCAATTTTCTTGAAGAGGTGTAAGTAGGGCTGTAAACGAACCGAACGAACACGAACGGAGGCTTGTTCATGTTCGTTCGTTTAACTTAACCGAACAAACGAACGAACACGAACGGTAAACGAACGAAAATCTTTGTTTTCGTGTT